ATTATGTTCTCAAACTAATATAGTTTAATAGTGTGTCTTACTATCTGTTCACAAATAGGAGTAGACATATTTTTTAATCTTCAACATGTCCAGGATGCACACAAGTGAAAAATCTAATCTGAATGTTATCCCCACAGTGTCTGAATGAATTGCTCTGGGAATGCTCACTAAATGTGATTTAAAATACAGTTTGATTAAAAGAAATACATATCAGTGAATGAATATCAACAAATTAGATCAACAGCTACAGAAAATTGACCCATCACTAACAGTAATGACAGTTTAGATCAATGTTTGCTCATATTACGCTGTGTAAAATATTAAGCCTGGTGTGTAAGTGAGTTTGAGCTAAGTTAAAAAAAAAAAAAAAACTGTAGCAAATGCTGGAGGTGGTTAGTCGAATCACTGTTGTCACTCACCTTATATTAGCTTTCTGTCCTGCCCTGTTTCTCTGACTCATTCTAACAAAGAAGGATTTTTTCAGACTACTCAGTGTATATAAAACACATGATAAACTGAAAAACAAAGTTTAAGCACTTTTCTCAACATGCACAGATCTATAACCACAGGAAAATAACTGGTGTATATCCACTAAAAAGAGCCTGTTTACCTTGTGAAGTTCGGAAATAAAATAATAAATTAAACAAAGCCATGCCTCTTGATGACAGCAATAAAATGCAATAAAACATTATCTGGGTTGCCCTAAGTTTGCAACACTATATTTTCCCTATGTAAATATTTGCATTTGCAATCTAAACAATTTCTTTCTAACATTAACTATTCATGACTGAATAAAACTACAATCAAAGGTAAAAGGGCGAAATTGCAATATCTGCAACTATGTATGTGCATGCATCCAGGAATTTCTGCATTCACACACACAACCTCACTAACACTTGACCTACATGGCAAATTCCAGCCACATAGATAGATTGCTGTAGGTCTGAGTGTGTGTCTGTCTTACTACAAAGTTTGGTCTACGTGCTGATTTGTTTAAAAGTTAACGTAAGTTCTTTTCCATAAGCATAAACAGTTAATCAGTTGTCCTTTTGCTAATGACCAACCTTTCCAAAAAATCTTGTGCAAGTCTGTGAATTCATCTGGAAGACTTATCGCCAACGAACCGACCGTCAGAGCAAACCATAGAACTGGGGAAGGTTCCCCCAAAAAATCTCATGTGAAATAAATCAAATTTCAATCAAAACTGTTCTAACTTCAGTAGAACCAGTAGTGATCAATCCATACCCTATTGCTCATAATAAAAAGCTTACTGAGAACATTGTTTTTAGTGTCTCTACATTTTCTTCTTCCTTTACTGTTGTTGGATAGGCCAGGTACTATGTTTTCATTGCGGGGCTATCAAATAATTGCCTGCACAGCTCAGTATCCCCTGGATTTAGATCCATACTGGACAAGCTGGCACCTTACAATTGACATCCAATACCAAGTCCTGTGCCCTTCATTTAATGAGGCAGAAAGTAAGGGTGTGGAGGAGTTCACAGACTTGCAGTCAGTCTGCACCTCTTTCACCACCATAGCTGTCAAAAGTTTTTTAGTTGCCTAACCCTAACCATAGTTTTTCATAACCACTATCTTTCTGTAACTGTAACTATACCAAGGTTGCCATGTGGAGACAAAATAAAATCAGTTCAAAGGAATAACAAAAAAGTGTTTTTTTCATTGTAATGTTGGCTATTGGTCAACATATAACAGATGCACTGCTAACTGCCTGGAACTACATTGTCTGGTTGCATATGTAACTGTCAGGTAACATAAAACTTTAGAGCATATTTGGCCATGTCTCTACTCATTTGGAGAGATTCTTAAGCCAATGCTACCTTTACAGTGTTTTTTCTAAGTTTTGTTTTCAGAGATGCTTACATACTGAACCGTAATCAGCTACTTTCTATCTCTTCTACACAGGCAGACACAGTGTGTGTCTCGGTGTGTTTTGGAGTGAGTACTTGCAGGTGGATAGGCCAAAGGGTATGGCATTAGCAGACGGAGTCCTCGTGCCCCACATGCTGCCCATATGTCATGCCAAATCTCATCTCATCAAGCACTATGAAAAGGTGCTGCTGGCTGCTGAAAGGCCACCTTCCAAACAGATATCATCAGCCTGACACCCTGACCTGACTGGAGCTGAGGGCTACAGCTCTGCTCCATATCATATCCAGTCACATTAAGGTTGCAAAAGCAGGGTCACGATGTAGTGCATTAAAAACACAAAGCTGATCCTTTACTTCCTACGCCTCACAAAGCACTCTACAGTCCAGAAATATAAAGATCAGAAGTCAATAGTTAGTCAACAGTTGAAATACTGTAGTTGTAGCAGTATGGTAGCAGGAGAAGGACACAACAAACATATACACAATAAAAGAGAAACAGTACAGTATGCCAATGCTAAGTGAGTGCTTATGCAGTTGGTTACTAATTATCAAATAGAACTTGCTGGGTCTCCATTAGTGTCTCAAAATGCAACCAAATGTAATGTCTTCCTGTTCCCATTGTTATTTTGGTTTGTGTTTGCAAGTTATTCATATACATTATGATGCAGTGATGGTATGTTCAAGTTATTGAGGGTGGGATCACTGTTATTCTGTTATTGATAGATTGACTAAACATGCCGTTCCACCCTGCTCTGGATATATCTATAGTAGTCACATTGTATTCCTGTGAGCCATTTTTTCTCAAAACTAGTAGCTCAGGGCAGTGCAGTTATATAGACAGCAGTCAATATTTTATTCCACCACTCACTGGTCTTTACAGTCAACGTGCAGTGTATCAGAGTATCCATTTATACATATTTAGTGAAACAACTAAATAAATGTGAGCAAGAAAACATGTCTGCATGGGCCAGCCAGCAGAGACTTTGGTACCCTGATTTTCTTACTAGAATTCAAGGCTTTAGTTACTGTAGGGCTATGGAGGAGACATCGACTGGCAGATGTCATGGTATTGAATAAATTGTTGTCAGTTGCTCTACCCTGGTTTGCTCCCTCTCTCTTTTTTTCTGGTCTTGCTCTCTCCTAGACACAGTCTCCCCCTCCTTTATGCACTCACACACTATTTCAATTATATTGTGTTGTGTGTGACTAAGTGGCCATGAAGTAGGACATCGCTGTACATGGGTGCTCAATTAACCAAAAAAAAACAAAACAAAAAAAAATAAATAAATAAATATATATATGGTTAAATATATATGATTATTATATGAAAATATAATAAATATGTTCCAAGCCTGTGACATTTTATTCCTCAAGCAGCGGCAGTGAACAACCCCATCAATATGTAAAACTCAGCGGATGAATTAAAAAAATAATAGTGGCCAAAGCTGCCTTTCCCTTATAGTGGTATGAAGAAAGACTGACAGTATGTAGAATCTAAGAAAAACTGCAAGACCTTCTGTCATAATCTGGCTGCAACACATTAAAGCATACAAATCTGTTGTGACCTCAACCACAATATAAGACAATATACAATAAAGTGGAATTCAAGTCAGTTTCTGTATAGCCTAACAGAGAAATGGCTGTGGTGGGATAAAAATAAAAAAAAAGCTTCAGTCTCCATCTCCTCCCTACTGCAGGGAGCTCAAACAATATCCCTAGTGCTTGTATGACATCTAGTGGTCAACTCGGATATTGACATCCTCTAAGCATTATTTGAATGTGTGTCATGCCAGTGACTCCACACATTATAAGTGGTGTAATTCGTCATACACTGAGACCACTTCCATGCCTGGCGGAGACTTTTGAAGTTTTTGGATTGCACTAAAGTCTGACATAAACAGAGTTCAAGTGCATTTTAAGTGCAGATACGTGACACACATACAGTAGAAGCATACAACCTGAACCTTTTCTGCACTCTACAGAAGCACCTTTTACTGACAACACTGATTCCGTCACTTTTACCATCAGCCCTACAAAATAAGACTCTAACTTTACACAGTTATAACTTAACGCCAAACACAAACCCTGATCCTTCTGACTGCAAATTATAAGTACCAATGTCTCCATACATACTCAGCCAAATTATCCAAACACACTTTTACAAAAGCAAATGAAGAAGCAATATTATTGCTTTGTAATGCTACCTCCTTAGTTGCTGTTAAAGGTTGATCAAAGTCAAGCCCCCATCTTTCGACCCACACAAAGACATAATAAAAATCATACACACACAGACACGCACATTGTGGCAAACATCAGGTTTTCTCCACTTTTGTCACTGTGGCTGGCAGCACTTACCTGTGGGCTAGTTGTTCAATTGTCATGATAGAAATAACAGTTTGCTATCATTCTGTCAGCATGGGGCAGAAAAACATTAGCTTGCTCCAAAAACAAGCATGCACCAGGTGGTGCCGTCTCTCTGTGGTATAAGCAATTAGCTTTCTGGGGGCCAAAACTACAGTTTGTCCCACATAGAAAACAAGCAACACCTGTGTGTGCAGCCGAGTGGAGCCGAGACGCTGCATAATAGAAAATAGGAACATCCAACAGGGGAGTGTCAAGTTGCCCTTTTCTGAATGCGTTTTGGAGAAGGTTGACAGGAAAATGAATGGAATGGGTAATAAGCAGGGGAGAGGCAATGAAATAATTTCATAGTGTGTGGTAGGCAAGCGAGGGGGGATTGTGGGATGAAAAATCCTGATAATTATGCAAGTAAAACATTAATTAAATCTATGACAGAAAAGGGGAAATCAAAGTGACAGAACTTAAGGCAAGAAGAAAAATACAAGTTAGATCACGTATTTAAAAAAGAGTGGTACAGACATGCAAATGAGGCGGTAAGATAAACATAAATGAAAGAGAGAAATCATGAGGAAATAATGTGTAAAGGAGAAAAGAAATTCAACAGATGCTTATCAAAGAAAAAATGGAGGAGTGAAGTTGTGGGTAATGATGTCACTCATCATGAGGTCAGGAGAAAGCAGAAAAGGTCCACAGAATCAAGATGAAACAGACAGATACATTTTAGTCAGAAAAATGGATAGAACCACTTACTGAGGTTACAGTCTATCCTGATACAATCTGGCGGGAGAGAGAGCGAAATGGTGAGATCAAATAAAAAGAAAAAGGAGAAAGAAAGGGATAGAAAGAAAGAAAAGAGAAAAAAGGATAAAAGAGAAAAAAACATTTTACATCCTTCAAAGTACATTCTGCAGACAACCAAGCATTGTTCTGGGGCCACCATCCGGGGACAGGCTCTGAGTCAGGATCACCCTTTTCCTCCATCAATCCCATCACCCATCCCTCCTTCCACCCAATAACCCCAAAGCACAACAGAAGGCAAGACATCATAATTCATGGAAATAACCTATACAAAGTGCTCTGTTGTCGGTGTATGAATACATAATAAAATCTTTACATGTGATTGCAGAGACAACATCAGAATGCAAATTGTGTGTTTTGAATTATAAGGTTCTATCTGGATAGTGTAGGGAGTGTAGTACTAACGTACTGAACATCAAATATTTAACGTACCATCTGGCAAACCTTTTTGCTTTTATCAACTTTTTTCAATATTTTATGTCAAATGTTTTTTTTTTTTCCTTTATAAATCATAATAACACTGTATAAAGCATGCAATACTTAAACCATCATAAATATATAATTTACTTCTTTAAACAAGTCAGATAGAGCCTAATAATTTTAACTGCACAAAATGTTTTGGCCAGAATTAGTTTGTCTAAATAACTTCAGGTGGTTGCTTTCTTGAATAGGATTGCAAATAAACACAGTGAAGCCATTATGCTCATACTGTGTACAAATATATTTTTTCCTGTGCTGCTATAGCAGACTTTAACTTTGGGCTTCTTTCCTGGCAATTTGAGATGTACTTGCCTTCTGCAGCACTTTGGGCATGAGAAACCCAACAGTGTAAATGACAAGAAAGGGTGATCTGCACATCCCAGCCACCTCACGCCTGATGCACACAAACCGCAAGAAATAAGACCCTACGGTGTACCATTTGCTACAAGTGGTGCGACAAAAACACAGCCAAGTGTTATCATTTTACAAGCTGTGTTTTCAGAATGGTGTGAGTGTTGGTTAAAATGCTTTGTCCTTGAATTGGACTCAGGTTAAAGTAGAGTGTCAGTAGACATCCGCTCTGGTTAAGTGTGGTCTACCTGTAGCTGGTCTGTAGCTTGACCTTTGACCCCCCCCCCCCAGGATGTGGGTAAGTAAACAGACTTCCTTTACAGGGATCATTAAAGTATCAAATTATTACTCCCCGCAGAATCTCATGTCTTCATCAATGCAATGCTATTCTGCCCCATCTAGTGGCTATAAACCGTGTGTGCATGTGGCAGTGTGGTTGGGTTGTGGTCTCGAGCTGTCAACCGCTACAGAATAGTGGACACAAACAGCCAGGGACCGGCGTCACTCTGTAGAGAAGTTGGGGTAATGCACATATAGTTCCTTTCAAATGTATTTGTGGGCCACATGTGTTGGTAAGCAGCAATGTTTTTGGACATTTCAGAGCACAAGACACGTTTGTGTAAAACAAAAAAAAGTAAAAGCTGTCCCTTCAGTAGCCTATGTGAATATTTTTTTTAACTGATAATTATTTAATAAAATGTCTGATAGTGTTAAACTAGAATGTGGCAGTTGTCATCTAACAGTGTTAGAGTGACAGCCTTAGAACTTTGCACATTGAACAGGCTGTCATCAGTATCTATCACTGATATCATTAGGGCTAAATCTGTCCAATTATTGCCTTTCCTAGAGATTAATTGGCTGGATTTTAATTATCAAAAACAAAGATTAAAGCTTTACCAGATATTGAGGATTCCCAGCTGATTGTGGGTTAATTAACTTCCTTGCAAAAGAGCTATGAAAATCCTAAGTACAGCTATAGTGTCAGTCAACTGTGAGACTTTTTTGAGGTCTCATTTAAGCCCCATTGAACGATAGAAATGGGACTGGTATGCTGATTCATTTGAGGGCTTTGCTGTTATCGATTAGCCACAAGTGTGTGTTTGGGGGACCGCCAGCGGGTCAAGCGGTGACCCTGTGAACAGTGAGTACAAATGTGTGTGGAGCCTCGGACAACTACAGCTGTGAGCCGGTCTCTCTGACTGTTTGATCCAAGGGCCGCAGACATACAGGCCATTGAAGGGATGAAAAGTTCCATCTTCTGAGTTTGGCCAGGTGGGGTGTTGAGTGACAGAAAAAGGGAGAAGTAGAAGGAGAAAGAAAAGAGAGAGGAAGAGAAATACAGAAAGAGAGCGGAGTGGCCACCCTCATTTATCCTACTGCCCCCTGTCCTGTCTCTATGGTGGCTTAACTCCCATATTCAAAGGTTGCACCTCTGTCATGCTCCTCCTGGTTCACAGTTGAGAGTCGGTTTCTTCAAAGGATCAGGAATGACTTAAAAGTATCCAGAGCTAGAAGGTCATACCCCACTTCCCCAGAGCACTAATATTCATTGAAATGAAATTTTAATGAGTCAAAAGGTCTGCACTCTTGCAGCCAGTTATTAGAGGGAATGCATGTGCCCCTTCTGTGAAACTATCCATCTTACAAAACCTACTCTACAATTTCACTGACCGTCTCCCCTCTAAGATTGCCTTTAAGACCTCTTCACACCCCATCTTCTTTAAACTCATCTGTAATTACTTATGATAAGGATTCCTATCTTCTCTTTATACTGCAGCTGGGCAGAAGTAGACCTGACCAGCCCCTCAACTAACTCCACAAAAAAGGGATTTGAGCAGAACCATGAGGAGGAGCGACACAGGAGCAAGGCCACCTTAGAGCTTCTAGGACAGGTTTATGGGTTAAGGCTCAAGATTGGGCCAGGGGTACTGTTAGAGATGGAGCTTTTAAACAGGCGGAAGTGCTATGGAGCTTCACAGGGAACAAAAAGAAGGGGATGAATGCAGAGGGGATGGGTTGAGACAAGGGGTCTAATAATAAGATCAGAAATCACTGCCGGTTGGCTCCCCACAGTGGGTGTAGTGACTGTGTTCTGGGGATGGATTTTACTTTTAGTCTTATATTCCTGCAGCAAGCACTTTATCAGTATGTGGAGGAGAAGTTTCTCTATTTGTACCTCAGTTTTCTTAAATAAATAGCTTTTGAGCACTCTTAGCTTTCCTCAGTTAAACCAAGGGGCAGTAATGGGCATAAGTTAGCTTGTCAGCTAACTGGACTGCCAACTGTGCTGATTAAATGAAATAAAGCGGGCTCTATCATACAGAACAAATAGGATGTAACTGAGGGACAAACTTAGAAGTTTTTTCCCACCCAACTATCTGACAATGGAAAAACTAATGGTGTGAAACTCAAAATGTCAAACCATGTTTCTACATTCAGCAGTATAAAATGCTAAAATACAGAGTGAAGATGAGGAGACAGGGGATGGTAAGGGAAAGGTTAGCAGCGACATCCACAATGAATCACAGTGGTTTACCAAGGTTCACGGTGAGCTTGATGCGGCCTCCATCCAGCTCCAGTCGCAGGGTGTCCGCTGACTCCTTGGACGTGGTGGCCATGAGCAGGCCATACGCCCGCTGAGACATGAAGCGCAGCGCCACGTCCTCGGCCTCTGTGTGCATGGTGACCGGCATCATGATCTTCAGGTACATGCTGCCGTCATAACTCAGCACCGTTGCCTCTGAATAGGGGTGAGGGAGAGGGCAGAAGAGTGACAAAGTGGGTAACGCATTACACAGCTACACACCTCTGCTTACAGAGGTAAAGACTCAGATGAACCCAGAAAATAGGCATGGAGGTCAACTGGATATGACAGCACAGTCTCGACAGTCTAGCTAAAGCATTTGTCAAATTCAATGTCAATCACCTTAGATTATCTTCCCATGTGATATATTTAATCCCAGTTTCACCAAACACTACAGATCTATTTAAAACTAGATTTAGAGCATGCAGATTTTCAATAGTTGTCTCATTATAGCATCAAAAAAATTTATGTCATAGCATTATATTAGATAGGTCTGTGCCTCTTAAGCAAACTAATACAAAATCCTGTATTTGTCAAAGTAGGTGTATTTGGATGCCGTATCTACAACATAAGACCAAGAGAGCATTCAGCGAGAATGATGATCAAAGCCATACGTGCCTGTAAACCAAGAACTCAGCAATCAAAAAATAGTATCAATCATTGCTGCATGAATGTAAGTGGGTTTGAAATTTTGATGGAAACATGTAGACTCTAGGGCTCTGTCTCTTTTTGTGTTTTTGTTATTGCTCCTTTCCTTTGTATGCCATGCCATTTCCATAATACATATCATTGTGTCATCATTTGTGACAAGCTAATGTTTGGCAGCAAAATATTCTCAGGACTCCTTCTATCCCTATTACATTTTCATCTAATGACAAATCTACAATCCAAAACACAAAGTGAAAACATTCATTATTATGAAAGAAAGAAAAAGCATAAAAAATAGTCATAATGAATCCAATATCAGACTCTCCTCAAGCTTAGAAAAATGTCAACAACTAAAGTGCAGCTTGGTTGTGCACAACCATAGTTACTCTCTCTAGAATCAGCCATGCCAGAAATAGCTTGCTGTGTAGAGTGACAGCTCCCTGAGTACTGCTCTTACTTTGCAGTGTGGGTTGCTGTGTCACCATAGGCTAACATGAGTCACTGTCACAGGCTACTTTAAATGTTTAGGATTTAGAGTGTACAAGTAAAATGATGCTAAAAGATGCAGAAATAATCCCTGCTATGCGTGGGCAAACAGGTAAAAGCAGTTATACTTTAAATGTGTACAATGTAGTTTCACACACACTGGACCAACACACCTCGCCTTCTTCGACAAAGACTTTACTTAAATGAAAGTGCGACAAAATCACAATGCAGAATTATGCTATAAATCAACAGTCTATTATTATCCTAAGACCAGCTCAAAACAGCATCAGTGCTTTTAATTGTATGTGGCTTGGAGGAATCATGTAATATCCTCTGGGTTTTCTTCCCCTATTCAATATCATTGATTGTCCTAACACTCTGTTAATCTATGCACTCAGTCTACTGACACAGAGAATTACGTGGCTGGTTATTAAAAAAGTGCCCTGTGCCACATTCCTGCAGGAGCACTAAGCTCCACTAGATGGCAGAAGAGCATCACTGAAACCACACTTTTCATCTGAGCACCCAAAGACAAAACTGTTAAAATATCACCCCTCAAAATAGAGACATTTCATCCTCTACCTCCACTGTCCTGATTTGAATCCAATCTCTCCTTCCCTCATTACCCTCCTTGTCCCTCAAAATCCCATACTGTCATGGCTCACTCACCCCCACGGACGTGCAAAGACAAACCATGAAGTGAGGCGCCTGCAGCTAATTGGAATGAATCAGATGTACGTGGTGCTATTTGACTAGCTCACCTCCCCTCGCTGTGGCATATACACCACCTGGGTTTGCGTGACTGGCACAGATGGCGGCAGTAGGCCTGGCTGCTCTGCCACACTGCTGCCGCCTCTCAGAGCTTCAGCCCCGACGCCCCCCCTCCCAGCCAGCGGGCCCTAATGCCACCCCGCCTCGGGTGGCATTTGCTTCACTCATAGCTCCCTGTGGAGCTCTTACTCCTACTATACAGCAGCTGCTTGGTTGTGTCAAATACAAGGAAGCACGCTGTCCAATACTCATTCTACACTTGTTTTCTGCTCTGCTTTATTGAATAGAGTGTGCTTTTTTATTGTTTCATGTTTTGACCATCTGTGATTCAACCCTTTACATACTTCATATTTACAGTATTGTATGATTAATTAATTATGAGGAGTTTTTGTCACTCTAACAAAAGGTTATTGTTCAAATCTTTGTGTTATTTGGGATGAAACAGTGCAATTTCATTTGTGAATTGTGTATAATTGCAAACCAGATGCATGCATGGCTGTTGATGAATTGAGTATTAGAGAGTACCCATAAAGACATCCATTCACTTCAACATCACCCTCCTTACCTATCTCACAGTTGGTACCCAGGTATCCGGTGCCGATGCAATCACATATATAGCGGTTCCAGCCCTCTTTGCACAGACCTGCGTTACCACAGGGGGCGCTGCTACACCGCTTCTGCAGTTCACGCGTGCAGAAACTGCTGACACCAAGCGCACTCTGGATCTCAGCCAGGCGGCGGACGTCACGGCTCTTGCCATCGATGAAGAGGTCGCGGATGCAGCCTACGTAGCCATAGTTAAGCAGCGCTGTCCAAACCTCTGGTGGCAGGATGAGTTCTGTCTTAGACTCGGGCAGCCCGCCCAGGTACATATCACTGTCCAGGTCCAGGATTTCACTGCCCTCTGGGGAGCTGAAGGGCATGCTGCGGCTGTTGACTGAGATGGATCCTAAAATACAGAAACACAAACAAGAACAAATGTTAATGTTATTAAATATTAAAATACAATATGACATGTTAGCAAATGTATACGGTGGTCTAACGATAGCTATAAATACATATGGAGTGCAACTTATATGTACGTTCATGTGTCTGAGTATGCACCTTGTATTTAGTCTGTGATTCAAAGTGTGTTTTAATGACTCAAAGACAGAGTAAGTGATTGAAGTGTGTGTCTGGATAGGTGAGTGAGTTGGTGAGAGGTCAAGTGGCTGAGTGAGTGAATGGCTGGGTTGGAGGCCCAGTAAGTGGATAATTTAAGGACACACAACACAGACAGAGGGACGTACAAGAGGAAGAATAGATGGCAGTAGATTGTGTGTGTGTGTGTGTGTCTAATGTGTCTGTAATAGGCTAAATGGAGGAGAAGGGAAGCAGAATGCAGCAGGGAGTGGGTGAAACAAAAGGCCCTCTCTCTTTCTGTGATTAACGACTCCGTCTTAATTTTCTATTAAAAGCCAATTACAGCAGGAGCAGCAGTGAGATCACATGCATGCGCGCACACGCACACACACACACACACACACACACACAGACACTCATTCACACCCTTCCTCATTATAAGATGCCATTAGAGGGAGATATAATGTCCAAGGTGCTTGCCCACCTACAGGCCATTCATCAGACACCACACACTCAACATGCAGATGCCCCTGTTTGTGCCCACATGCAGGAAGAGACATTGGAGCACAACAAACAGGTATAAACAATACACTCACATGAACAAATACTACTGGATGTATCTTTAATAGCATGTGCAAACATTTCTTAGCTTTTGTTTTGTCATGCCTGGATTAGCACAGCGAGCTAGACTAAGTCAAAGCCAATTCAGCCTCATTTTCTGTGACTGACAAATCTGGGACAGCATCTGAATCCTCCTAATCCAGTGAACTCTTCCAACCTGCTGCCTAAAGAATCTACAGAATACGTAAAAATATGAATACATTAAGAATAAGTACATGTTTATTTTAAGTGCACATTTGTGGTTTTGTAAATATATATATATAATATACTGTGGAGCTAGCAGCAGATATCTAGGTTTTGCAAAGGCAATTTTGAGGCTGCAAATGCACATCAGTCAGGGATGTGAGTTGTGAAGAGCCATTTGTTGCTATTTTGTATGCGTTTTCAGTAGCGTATATATAAGAACACAAGACAAAATATGTTTTTATTGACACACTGCAGGTAGAGAGAACTGTCAGAATACAGGATGAGTGTGGATTGGACGAAACTGAATTACATTTCTTAAGTGCTATTTGTCACAGTCAAAACAGCTTTCTGTTTCTTGCTTTACTCACTCGTTCTCATTCTGCAGAATTTTGCAACTTTCTTACATGCTGCCAATTGTGAAGGTGTTGAATTTTGCATAAGTGGATGGAAAGTAAATATTCACATGCTTCTGCCTCTTGATATGAAAATGTGGATGATGAATGTGAATAAATAATCCAACAACACTGCAATAAATAGAAATTTCATCAGTTATCAATCTCAACATTAGTTTAAAGCACCCCTCACCTTTCCTCCCTTCCCTCTGGAAATCCACATGGCACCACTCCCCATCATTGACCTTCTTGTTGCTGGCCTTCAGCTTTGTTTTCCCAGAGCCCATATCAATCAGCAGGTACAAATACCCATCCAGCAGCTCCATAGCAAAGTAATCAGTCTTCAGCTCCCGACCGGGCTTCTGCTCTTTGGGACCCTGAGGGCGGCCGTGGCTGAACAGCAGGAGGCCACTGGGCTCCGTAGTGCGAAAGTCGAAGGAGATAGATCCCGTCTTCTTGGTGTTCCACTTGGGCAAGGAAATAAAGGACTCTGGGGTCTCGAAGGTGACAGGGTCCAGAGCTGCCACGTCCTCGCAGCGGAACACCAGGTCGCCGTTCAAGGTTATTTTAGGGTCTCGCTCAATGGCCAGCCGTGACAGCTCCAGCTTAAAGTCGTTGTTCTTGTACACCACCTGGAGAGCATAGAGAAGAGCAAGGTTATAATTCTGTATGAAATAGAGGTAATGCATTCAAACATGGCAACTAAAATTGTCTTTAAAAATACATTTTAAAGTGGACTTTACTATAGCTTAAAAACAAAATGCAGCTAATCCTAATTGCCCATATTAATTTCAAGTGTCAGTTATAGTGGCTGCTGGGAAATCTTGTCATCACAGGGAAATTATGAATCAAAACATGAAGGAAATACATTACTTTCTTTTGAACAGCAGTGTGAAATCAACAGGCATACAACATGCTACAGAAGCTCCAATCTCCAACCCACAATCTCCCAACTCGGCTCAGTTTACAAGATTTCTTTCCTTTCATTGATTTTATTGATGTTTGGGAAATCCTAAACTCCTAACACTTGGTCAAATCCATAAAGTATACAAACTATTTGTTGTTCTACAAAAACTGTAGCTCAGAAATGTCAGTGTATATGTACAATAAATGGGAAAATTAAAAGGCTCCAGGGGATATTCAGGCACAGGGAGAAGTGTATGTTGCCTACAGCCTTAATGCAAATGTCTCTGACAGCCTTTGATGAAATACGGCTCTTGTTTCAGCTCGAAATGTGTGTCTGTGCCTCACTGTGTGCATTCATAATGGATTAAGTGCTAAAGGCAAAGTAAATTATTCTTGTCTTTCATAGTTTTAGTTTTCCTTTTATTTGTTGAACACTCTGTAGACAGCGATTTGAGAGGCCGTCCTCAAGGTAATAGTGTGAAGCAGCTGAGGCCTTTGCGTTTGTTTTTGTGTGTGTTTTCTCTCATGACTGTAGCGCTCTTCATGCTCTCGCACACCCACACATACTCGCTGACAGGTAACGGAGGAAAAAAATGGCTTCTCTACATTTCTCTTTGCTTTCTGCTGCTGTCGCAGCTACAAGGTTAAGGAAATTGTCCTGTTGTTGTACTCCCAGGTTTGATCCTGAAGCAGATGTGTTCCGTAGAATTGACAGAGTAAAGACACAGAAAAGCCACCTGCTCATTTTGTTTGGACCTTAACACTGTTCCTTTGATAAAAAGAAATGTCATATCTGTGGTTTTATATGCATTATCCTGTTAACCATAAATTGTAAACTTACATTACTGCACAAGAGTTTCAGTTCATACAGTTTTTTTATTGATTTCTTACCTTCCAGATTACTATTCCTTTTGGTAGACTATGTAAATCAACTCAATTTAATACTGATGCCTCTATATGACCTACATACACACACCATCAGCGAGAAGATACAACTTATATCTGGATCCACCGATAGAATACTGTTTACTTCCTCAATCACGCTTCTTAAAGAATTCATAGCTAGTTTGATTATACCTGTGACTTCTGCTTACTCCAAGTGAAATGATGAATTAATGCTGTGTGCCATCTGTGTGTAAAGTCACCATTTTCTTTTCTGTTTTCATATTTGCACCACAAGGCTTGTCTTGTGTGATGTGCTTCACTGTATCGCTTCTAATTTCACCAGACTGCTGCTGCCATTCCTCATTGTCTTCCACAGTGTCTCTTTCAAACGCCCTCCAATCTACCTATTTTTTTCACATATATGCACACACACACACACACACACACACTCTCTCTCTATCTCTCTCTACCTCTCTCTCACCCTCTCTGTCAAACACCACACCTACACATAGATACAGAATGAACCACAAGAACACAGATGTGCCGGGTTATTCTTGAACTTAAGCCTCCTTTGGTTATCTCCTATATTGGCCACGCTGCCACATGTACTGTACACCTCATAATGTTGTCATTAGCAGAGATTAGTCCTGGTAATTAGAGACGATAACGCTAAAACTGGCAGCTAATAAGGCGTGAGCTCGCCTGGCTTAAGGTGTTAGAAAAAGAGAGGGGTAGGTGAAGAGAGAAAAGGCAGTGGGATGAGGGAGAAGATTTATTTTATATTTTATTTATTTTCAGTTATTTATTTTTGCTGCTCCTTTTCAACAAAAACGCAGCCTGGTGCTGTGTTTTTTTTTTTTTTTTTACAAAGGATCATACAGCATGTAGGAAAAAGACAAGGCAGGAAACATGCTGTACCAGATGACTTTCAGGCCAGTCAATATCTACAGTGTGAGTCTAATGATTTTGAACATCAGCCTAAATCTAAGCTAGCTACAATCACAACTACATCAAATATAATTATTTTGTCAGTGGGTCTGATGGGACTTGTCATTAAGTCCATTAAATAATTTAGTGCGTGTCCCCGACAGGATGATGCCTAATGAAATTGGTTAGGTTAAAAATTTTCCCTGGTATTTTTGTTTCCTAGAAGATGAAACCTAATGTTAATTGTGACCCATGACAATCCAAAGCAACATCCAGGCTAATATTCCACTTACATAAAGTAAATATCAAGATCCTAAGGTGCTGTCAATTTTAAACGAGAGGATGGACCTGGCTTTAGACTTGAATTCTGAATCATGTGAGTTAAATATTAGAACTGATTTAAAAAGTGTTTCCATCTCTCATTAAGCACATACAAATACATTAATATAAACAGGGTAGCCAGAATTTGCTGTTTTTAATGTTGGCTTTGATTGGCTATGGATCTCCAAAGGTTCAAATGGCTGGTGGCACTGTACATGGCTAATAATGTTTGTTATTACCTGTTCAGATCATCTGTGACCCTTTAATATTTTCACACTACCACCTCTAGAGTAAATTTAAGAGCTTTGTGTAAGGTTTGATCCAAGCAGCTGTCTTTCTTTGTTTTAGTGTGTGTGCACAAATCCACCTTGTTGTTTAGTGTGTTCAATTCAACAAGGGCAAGACATAAAAATGCTGCTTTAGCCAGTCATTAAATGTGTGACAAGCTACCTTTTCACAATCACTTAAGTCTTCCAGTGTGTCTCTAGCAAAAGCATACAAATACAAAAGGAGAGGAGTAGCCAGGGGCAACAAAACGCAAAAAGCAGAACACAAAAGAAGGTAGGTGAATACAAGGGAGAGGTGTTCAGCAGTAAGGAAGGCAGGAGATGATGGTGGTGAATGACAAATGAGAGGAAGACGAGGGTAAAAGAGGGACAGAGCAATTCATGGGAGCACCAAAGTGTGTGAGACATGCAGGGCCCACTCTGAAAGGTGAATCTAATAATCTGTGCCTTTCTAAACGGCAAAAGACACAGATGATCTTTGCCCAGTCAGGGGCAGGTTCTATATAAAGGCATGTGCTGACTCAGTATCCAGACCATATGCCTTTCTTTCATATCTTCAAACCTTTGAGGCTGTCTGGCTTTATGCAGACATTTGTAATATGTTCTCCTCAGTCTTGGGAGGGTAGGTCTCGACAGCTCATCTAACGAGCCAAATCAACCGCTGCAGAGAAGCTCCACTAATAAAAAGACCACTGTCAAAGGTTTTAAAAACTTTGGGATCTTGAGCAGAGTTAATAATGGCTAACAACACAGTATTTGTCCCCTCTTTTGATGATCACTTGTGACCTCTGAATTCATTACCTTGGATAGCAGAGGCACAGGGTGTTTTTGAATTAACTTTAATGATCTTTCTAAAATCAGAATGCATGTGGCCCCGACACGGACTGCGACTTGTGCTTTCTCGCTGTTCTAACGGTACAGCTAAGGCAGGGCCAAAGCCTTCCTCAGGGGTGACTCCATTGATTTGTTTTGTCATTGAGAAACTCTGCAAATCTAAAACCCTACAGGTCAGCGGTACAAAAATCATAATTTTTTCCTGATGTACTTGGGGTTTTCAATGATCGATGAGCCTATTTACCACCTAGTAGAAGCCTGATTTTAAAGTGGTGTAATACATTCATACACAATCTGACAATCAAACACTAAAGGTTGCAAGTTATTTATTTAAAAAGGGACAATGCACATTAATTAACACAAGGACTTAAGTCCACTATGTTAATCTGCCAGATTTAGCCACACACTAATTTTCATCTCCAGTTCCTGGCAGGTTGATATATCAGAAACATTTAAAGGAAACACACAAAAGCACGTAAGCACAGAATAGTAATAACCCAATGGCCAAATGAATGTCTCCTGTATGTCATAACCACATGACTCATAACGGACATTACAGGAAAACATACAAAAGCACATTAGCACAGCCAATTAGTAACGGAAATAACAGAAACTCTAGATTATGAAAGTATATTTGATTGTCTAGTAACCACTGTTTTATAGATTTGGAGAAGGCGTTGAGGGATGTAATGTTCCTTAGTTCTGTGGGTAAAGTATTCCAGATATGTGCGGCTCAAAAGGTATTTTTTGATTTAGTTTAAGACCATGGACATTTTGTATACAGTGTTTAGTGGCTTACATTTAAATGTAGGCTAATGTAAATGCTCCTGTTAGTCCTCTGTGTTTGCTTTCAAGTCTTTTTTTCTGTTGCTTACCTCTCCTCCTCCTCTGTTGTCCATGTCCTTCATTGCGTCTTTCTTCTCTCTCTGTCCCTCATTTGGACATAAATTGATTGCAAGAGATCATCCGGGTAGTTTCATTTTCTCAGTTTATTGTGTTCTTTGTGGACCAAGTGTCAGATGGAGCTAGTTATACATGAGGCCTGATTGTTATTCAGCTGACAAATATCAGACTGAGAGCTTCCTGACTGCTGTTCCAACATTATGCTTTTTTATTATTATTTTCTTTGTTTTATGTTTATCATAATTGTCAGTGTAGCAATGTCCTCCAAATTCTTAGTTTGTAAACCCAATGAACACTGTGCTC